CAGGAACTATCTCGTGCTATGCCCAGCACAGAGGCTGGCCCTCAGTGAGTGTCCTGCATCCCGATGACCCGGGCTGCATGCCCGTACGTCAGTCCCTTCCCCATCCGTGAGCTTACCCTGCTCTCCCCGAAAATGCAGGGGCTGGGGCCTTTCAGTCCCCAACTCTGGCTGCCGAGGTCACCGTCTTCGTCGTGGTCACTGTCATCATCATGGCAGGATGGAGGTGCGGTGGGGGGAGGTATGGATGTTACACAGGCAGTGAACGCCAATGCCGGGCCAGCCGGGCAGCGGGTCCCTGAGGGTCAGAAAGCTCCTCTCTACTTTGTAGGAGTCCGGCAGTCTCCGTGAGAGAAAGTTCTGTATCCGATGCCGCGGCCGGCGCTGCTCCCCCGCCCCTGCTGGAGAGCCGGGAAGGGGATTCTGGAGAAGATGGACAACTCTGGCCAGAGGCTCCCCGGGGCCGGCGGGCGAGGGGGCAGCGGCTCCCCGGTGCTGTGCCCTGTGGGAGAAACCCCCACCTGGAGCACGTGCCTCGTCCCCTCCCTTAATCCCTGGGCCGCAGCAAAAATGCTTGGTCAAGCACCTGCTCATACAACTCAAAAAGACCCCCCCCAAACGCCAGTGTGCATGAGCGGCCGCTTTGGGCTCCCCAGCTTCTTAGCCCCCCAGTCTCAGCTGCAGTCGGTGAGACCCCTGGGTAAGTGCCCGCGTCCAGGGCCTGGCACATCGTGGCTGCCTTCTCTCAGCAGGGGGTGATGCCGCCTGCGCATGCACGGGGCGGGGGTGGGGGGCTGCTCATGAGCACAGAGAAGTGTTGCCAGAGGCCGGTGTGCCGGTGAGACTTCACCCCGGGGCACGGCCAGACTCTGTGTCCTAGGTTCTGTAGCCCCCGGCTCTTCCCGTGCCGGACGGTGACCCGTTAGTGATCCCGGCGGGAGCCAGAGCCGGCCGGTGGTGGCCAGATCATCTCCATGGCCCCAGCACGGGACCTCCTGGAGTTCCCAGCCACCCAGAGCATGGCAGGAGGCTTCCCCGGCCCCGCTGGCAGACGAGGCCTGCAGGTATCTGTTCTCGCCGGCAGCGCACCCAGCTCACAGTGGCGAACGCTGCCTCTCCAGGAAGCCAGTTCTGCCTCGGGAGACTCCATCTAGAATATTCCATCCCGTACAGGGTGGGGGAGGGACTGTACAGCCCTGTCCCCAGCCTGGGGCCCAGGAAGGCGCAGGGGAGGCATGCTGGGCCACTGGTGTCTCCGGCCTCATCCCCTCCCTCCGGGCGACGGCCCAACCTCCACCAGATCCAGTGGCTGTGAGGAAGCCCCCTGAGGGTCCCAGGACAGAGTTCCAGCTGGTATTCCAGGACCCCTCAAGCTGAGCCCCCCGCCTCCACTGGCCTCACCCAGCTCCCCTCCTGGGGCTGCTCTGCCTCCTCTTGCCTACATCCTGGCCTTTTCCTCCGCCAGGAAGCCCACCTGGCTCGCCTCTCCCAGTCTCGTTCAAGAGTCCAACCTACAAATCAGCTCTTTCTCCCTGTCTTTCCCAATTCCCCAGCCAGGTCCTCTCCACTGTGGAACTTATTCAACCTGCAAATAAGGCAGGTACGTATTCCCTCAGCGGATCCTATAGACACCGCTCGGGCCCATTTTACAGATTAAGATACTGAGACTCAGAGTGGCTAAGCACCTTGCCATGCCCTTCAGCGTGGAGAAGATGGTAAGGTCTCTTCCTTTTGCCCCAGACCTCCCCGTGGGGAAATGGAAACTTGGTGCAGGCGGGTAGGGCCATGGTACAGGCCCCGGCCCCTGCACACCACCAGTGCCAGGCCTGGGTATGGCTCCCTGGTCCCCTCTGTAGTCTGCACGTAGGAAGGCTGGGGTGGGCATGCAGAGCTGCAGGTTCGGGCCTTCCAGCACCTTCTCCTTGCCGTCGCGGTGGGCTGAGCCGGCCTGGCTGCCCCATGCCGGCCCCACCGAGCACCTGCCCTCCTGCCTGCCTCTCCCTGGGCGGAGAGGCTTCTCCTTCGAGTCTCTCTTCACCAGCCTCCCAGGAGCTCTGACTCTAGGTCTGGGTCCCTCTCAGCACCCCCAGGCTTTCCCACACCTCCCTTTGTCTCAAGTCTCCTTGGACCTCTGACACACGGCCTCTTCCTCTCTGTCTCCAGCCCCGCATCGCTCCGCCTCTTCCCTCTCTCTGTCCCTGGCTATCTCTCTCCACCTCTGTTTCCCTTTACTGTCGCTCTGTCTCCCTCCGCCCCGTGTCGGTCTCTGTGTGTGTCTCCGTCCACGGTCCCTTTCTGTCTCCTGGGCCCTGTGTCCCTGACCGTCACTCTCTGAGTCTGTGTGTGTCTCTCCCAGTCTGAATGCGGGACAGCAGTGCCTCCTGCACAGCGTCCCCTTGCCTGGCCCAGTGTGCTCCCCTGTAGGGGCGGAGGACCCCCGGGCACCCGTCCAGGGCCCTCTCGGGCTGGGTGGCAGTGCTGACAGACGAGATAGGGATCAGACTCGGCTCTGTTCGGGCCTGAGCAAGGGGCACAGCCGGGCTACGCGGGGGCGTCGGGTGCCTGCGAACGTTGCCTGTGCGCACGTGTGGGATTGTGCGCAGGGCTCCCTCATTGAGGGGGGCGGGGGTGGGGGCTGGGTGTCTGTCTAGTTTATGTGTGAGCGTCTGGGCCTGTTTACGTCTGTCTGCGAGCATCTGCCTTGGTGTGTCTTTGTGTGGTGCTGTCTGGGGGTGAGTACCATAGCCTGTGGGTCTGTCCCCCCATGGGTGCCTCAAGAATGTGCGTGTATGTGTGTGTGTGTGTGTGTGTCCCTGGGCGGGAGGTGTGTCAGGGTGTGTCTGTGCTGCTGTCCATGGGCCAGGCCTTCTGCTTGCATCCGCTCCTGCAGGTGGCAGTGAGACCCAGAGGCCATCACCCCCCTACCCTCACTGCCCCCCCACTGGTAGGGGCCTTGAGGCCCCCCCCCCGCCCCTGCCCAGGTATGTGGCTGTGGGGGTGGGGCCTGGCAGCACACAGACTGGTTCAATGCTGGCTCCTGCAGCACTAGCTCCGAAAGCCCGGCAAGCTGCCTGGTCCTGCCACGTCTCCCACGTTCATTCAGCAAAAATGTACCGATCAAAACCAGCTAAAGCGAATCCACGGTTCAGGAAGCCAGAGAGGAGCTGCTGGGGGAAGCGGCCCAAGGGAGCCTTTGGGGGGCCTCTAGCTTGATTTCCGTGGCCGTGACGTGGGGGCGTTTGCTGGGCGAGCATGCATGAAGCTGCTCATTTCAGATGTGTGCATGGTAGAGGTTGCTGTAACACTTGATGAAACATTTGCTGGTCTCCTGCTATTTATCAGACATCAAATATCATTAACAGTAGTGGGGGTGTGGCTTGGGGTTTGTTTGTCTTTTAAGCATTTCAGAAAGTGAGTCAGTCCACTTGCAGCGCCATCAGCCCACTCTCATCCCAGCCGTGATGGCAGAGGGAGGAGGCGAGTGTTCCCCACCCCAGCCTGGCCTTGCTGTTTCAAGACAGCCATGATTTTCCCTCGGATTCGGGTGGGCCACTGGGGGCATTGTGGAGCGGAACTGCTGGCGTCCAGGGGAGCTGTAAGAGCTGGACTCAGAGCGAGAGCCGGAGGGCGGGCGACGCGGACGGCACACCTGCTCGGTACCTCCAGCACTGACAGGCAGGGCCTGCTCTCCACCTGCAAAGGCCTCACGTGCCACCTGCCAGTCACCAACACAATGCACTGAGTCCCTACCATGTGCCAGGCCCTGGGCTGACCTCACTTCACCCCCTGGAGAGGTGGCATTGGCCTCCCTCGGCCCACACTGCTCACCGGTAGGGATCTGGATGGAAAACTCCTTCCTCTCTGGCTGTGCCTCGACTCGGGGTTTCTGAGGTTCCCTGAAGCTTGAGTGGAGGATCAGCAATCATTTGCTTTGGCCCTCTTGGGAAAGTTCAATGCTGTGTCTTGGCAGGAAAAGTAGCTCGAGCCGCCCTTTGGTGACAGCGTGCACCGCTCATAGGGAAAAGCTGCTGGCTCTTCAGGAGGCCTCCTCATGGCAGAGAAGGCAGGTGTGGGGGCCGCGGGCCTCTGCAGGGCAAGTGTGCAGCAGGGGGAGCCAGCATGTGAAAGGACAGGAGTGAGTGAAGGCTACCTGGCTTACAGACCCCCACCCCGGCACCTTTTGTCCGTCCGTCTCCATCTCCAACCCCAACTCCTTGAGAACAGGGACTGTTTTGGCATTGCAACCATCAGTTGCAAAAACCTGGCACAGAGGAGGGGCCCTGTGGATTTCTTTTTAAACATTTTTTCCCCAAGATTATTTATTTGAAAGCAACAGTTACAGAGAGGGAGAGACAGAGACAGAGGTCTTCCATCTGCTGGTTCACTCCCCAATGGCAGCAATGCCCAGAGCTGGACCGTTCCGAAGCCAGGAGCCAGGAGCTTCTTCTGGGTCTCCTACACAGGTGCAGGGGCCCAAGGACTCGGGCCTTCCTCTGCTGCTTTTCCCAGGCCACTAGCAGGCAGCTGGATGGGATGAACCGGCACCACATGGGATGCCAGCCTTGCAGGCAGCGACTTTACCAGATATGCCACAACACTGGCCGTAAACTTTTTTTTTTTTAAGATCTATTTATGTATTTATTTGAAAGGCAGGATTACGGGGGGGGGGGGGGGGGATCCTCCCTTTGCTGGTTCACTCCCAAATGGCCACCAATGGTCAGGAATAGGCCAGACAGAAGTCAGGAGCTTCTTCCGGGTCTCCCACATGGGTGGCAGGAGCCCAAGCACCTAGGCCACTGTCCGCTGCCTTCCTGCGCCATTAGCAGGGAGCTGGATGGAAGTGGAGCAGCTGGGACTAGGGCAGGCAGTGGCTCTACCTGCTGCGCCACAGCGCCGGCCCCATGGATTCTTGATAAATGAGTCCAGACCCTGGAACCTGCCTCTGGGCTCCGTCCTGCCTCTCTGGCCCTGTGAATTCCACACTCAGGGGCAACAGCACTAAGTAGTTTCGATAAGTGGTTTTATTACTGGTTAGATTTTACAAATTCGGATATTCGAACAGACTTCCACCTTAAAATTCTAAAACAACAAAGCGACCGTTGGAGGGGGTTTGATTTCTTTTTTTTTTTTCTTTTTAGGACTATTCAAAGTAACAAACTTTTTTTGTTTGTTTTTTTTTTGTTTTGTTTTGTTTTTTACATTTTTGCTCTGGTCATAAATATACAGAGAGAAAAAGAGGGAGAGAAAAATGAACAAGTCATCCCAAGTATGGAGAAAAAACAGTATTCCTAAGGCACGTGGCAGTCTTTGAAAATACAGAAGCTCTAGCCAACTTAAATTATTTGTTGTTTTTCCTCGCTCAGTCCACAAAACTGTACAGTGACACAAATGTTGTGTTGTAGGTTGATCTTCCAAGTAATTCCACAGTCCGCCCCACTGCGGGAGCTGGCCGCGCAATTATTTTTTTTTTCCCTCTGTTTCCAGGCGAGATCCTAAAATGTGGTTAGTTAGTTGCTCAAAGCCTCTATTTTAAAATACACTTGGAATTCAACTAAAGATAATTTCTTTTTTAAAGAAATCGTGGGGCTGGGGGCCGGGGGGCGCGCGTCGTTAGAAAAGATTGGTAAGAGTCGTTTGTGAGGGGCTGTGGGGCTCATGGCCCTCCAGGCTGCCAGGCACAGAAGTTAGCACGGACGTCACGGTGGGCAGGGTGGGGCTGGTCAAGTCTGTGAGGGTGGTGGGCGTGCTGGAGGGGCTGAGCGAGGCGTTGGAGAGCTCCGAGGCCGGCCCCGACGGCGTCCCCGTCGGCAGCGCCGCGTCCGTGGACTTGTCCACGCCCGTGTTTTCCTGCCGTAAGAGGTTGCGCCTGAACTTGGCCCGGGCATTCTGAAACCAGACCTGCGTGGGACAGGGAAGGAAGGGCTGGTTAGCGGGGCGGGCTGAGTACAGCTCTCCGGGGGGTTCGCGAAGGCCCCCTTCTGCAGAGGCGGGTCCAAGAACTCAGCAAGATTAAATAAAACTTTTCCTTTCCCAGGCTGCGCTGGGTTTCTAACTGCAGCCGCTGGCCGCGGATCGACTGAGATGGATACCGGCCGCCAGCCCGCAGGTGAGGGAGCAACACACACTACAGGCCTGAACGGCAGGAGAAAGACAAAATGAGGGCATCGCCATCGTAATTCTTACATCGGTTTCCCATGGGGAGATCAGGGATCTACGGGGATCCACAAGACACTGTTGAAATCCGGTTCTGCTGCCTATGCACTTCCTGCTGAGCTTTCCCTGGACACACCAAAAACTCTGCACAATGATTGGTTGAGAGGATTTTTCTTTTTTTGGCAGTTGCCTCTAAGCAGACAACAGACCCCACAGGTTCTTGCTGGTACAATTCTGAAGTGGTTTCTGAAGTGTGAGGTTGAAAAACACAGAGATGACAGAAAGAATCCACAGGAATCAGGCCACAGTGAGAGGCAAGGCGGGACACGGACACCACCCCCGGCAGCTGGAGGAGGCCCAGGCGCCCTGGGCGCAGGCGGGCGGAGTGGCAGGCAGCAGCCGCCAGGTTCACGCAAAGATGTGCAGGTCAGGAGGAGCAGTAGCTGCAGGAGGCCTCCCCCAACAGGCCAAGTCCCCTGCTCCCTCCTGGAGGGAGGTGGAGCCCGAGTGGGAACCGGGCTTGGTGCTGTGTCCCCTGCTCCCTCCTGGAGGGAGGTGGGCAGGAGTGAGAACCGGGCTTGGTGCTGTGTCCCCTGCTCCCTCCTGGAGGGAGGTGGGCAGGAGTGAGAACTGGGCTTGGTGCAGGCTCACCCTCTGACTCCGAGGGTGCAGCCACAAGGACACCTTTGCATGGGAGCCTGTAAGGTTCATGAAGATGCATGCCCACGCCACCCCCCAGGCAAATCTAGCCATGGTCCACACAGCGCCCGGGAGAGGCCCAGGAAATCCGTGCCACTGGGCGGGGTGGCAGTTGTGCCTCCCAGAGGCAAAAGCCCTACAGGCAGGGGCCCCTTCCTTCTCCGTTCCACGAGGACAACACCCGCCGGCAGCCGCCCCCTACATGCAGGCCCGGGGGGCCCTCCAGACTCTAGGTGTCCAGCTGTGTGTTTCCAGATGTGGCTGCATCTGCCTGTGTCTTCTTGGAGTCTCGGGCCGCTCGTGGCCCCACCCTCCCCTGGGGACCACCCTGGCTGCAGGGGCCTGTGGCCTCCAACTCCCCTTTCTGGTGGCCCCACACAATTTGGGCTCAATTAAAAACACAGCCGGGAGAGCTGCAGAGGGAGGAGAGCGGTCTGCGCTGTGACGTGGCGAGACCAAGCTCTCCCCCGAGCTGGCTGGCGCCCCTGCCCCAGGAAAGCCCCCCACCTCAGAGCATCCTCACATTCTGCTGCCAGCCCCCAGAGACCCTCCGAGGAAGCGACTGCCCTAAAGGGAGCACACAGGTCCCCGAGAGAGACTGCTGGAGCCCTGGCCGCCGTCCTGGTCTGTGTGCGTGACCCAGGAGCTGGCCCTGTGAGTCTGGGTCTCCCACGCGGTAACTGGATGGGGAGTCCTGGGGTGGCACATCGCTCAGCCACCAGGGCTCTGAGACCTTGGGAAGGGCTGGATCTGGTTAGCTGCCGGCTGTTTGCGATTTCCCAGGCGTTGCCCCTAACAGCACACTTGTAAACAATGACACATCCTCCGCAGCCGGCGCCTCTGCCGCATGGGGGAATCTCCCAGACCGAACCCAACAGCCCCCTCGCGGCCCGGCTGCTCTGGGGGGTCAGGCTGGCTTGGGGGTCACCTTATCCGGAGTATTTCCTGAGAGGATACAGGAGACAGGGGCCCTAAGTCATCTCCTTGTCCCTGGGGACATGGCAGAGCCTGGCGAGGCTGAAAAGTAACAGGTGTGACAGGAGCAGCCCAGACTTCCGTGCCTTGCGCTGTGTCCCGGGCACCCAGCCACCCCGACGACAGGCACCGGCACAGCCACCCACACTGGGCCCAGTGGGCGGGCCCCATTATCATCTCCACCTTACACATTTAAAATCCAGAGGGGCTCAGAGAGGTGAACTCACTTGGCCAAGGCCACACAGAGGCTAAGCGGATCCTAGAATCCAGAATGGTTCGCTATTAAAAAGCAAAAATAGTTCTCCCGGCCACACGATCCTGATGAGTCAGCGAGTGAATGGATGAAAGAACCCAGTAAACAGAGACGCGACCACGGTGCAGGGGGAAGAGCGCGGGACACGGCTCGGCTTCCAGGGCTGCCACCGACCAGCCAACCCTTACCTCCGGGCTGCCTCAGTTTCCCTATGGAAACTGCGGCCTCCTGGGGCTCTGACAGGCTGGGATTCCAGGTCAGCCGCAGGCAACAGGGACACGATCTGCTCCACTCCCCCCCTTCTGAAGCCGACAGCCTTCCCCGTCACCTGCTTGCAGCTCTGTGGTTGTGTGTTTGGGATAACGGGGCCCGCCCAGGCACAGGAGTCAGAGGCCCACTTGGCCCTGGCACAGCCCCCCTGGAGGTACGAAGGAACCCCAAACATGCAAGCTTCACGCCCACAGGTGTCCACCCTGGCATTTTTTTCTATGACATCAAACAAGGGCTGCATCCAAAGTGCTCACTCAAATGGGGTGAAGGGAAGTCATCACAGGGCGACTCCACGTCCCCGCAGGGGAAGTGTACAGCTGTGAGGTGAGGAGAGGGGCACCACGATGCCCCCTGCCATTGCAGCTTTATGCAGACAACAATAATAACAAAAACGACTCACACCAAGGTCCAGGCATTGTCCCAGTCCTCCACACATACTAACTCAATTTGCCATTATAACCCTAGAAGGTAGGCACCAGCGTTATGGCCAGCCAACAGATGAGAAGACTGAGGCACAGCCAGTAAGAGGCAGAATGGAGACTCCCAGCAGACCGGGTCCACACCCCACCCACACTTAGCCTGTAAACCACACCTGAATGATCAGATCTCTGTGTTCTCAGATGGCTGATGTTTTTCTATTTCTCTAATCTGTGTGATTATTTTACGAAGTTTTTTTTTTTTTTTTTTTTTAAGTTTTGTTTTGGGGCCAGTGTCCTGGTACTGTGGGTAATGATGCCAACACCCACATCAGAGCACCAGTTTGAGTCCTGGCTGCTCTGCCTCTGATCCAGTTCCATGCTAACGGGAAGGCAGCGGATGATGGCCCAAGCGTCTGGGAGACCTGGATGGAGATCTACGCTCCTGGCTTCAGCCTGGCCCAGCCCTGGCTGTTGCAGCCATTTGGGGAGTGAACCAGCAGGTGGACAATCCTTCTCTGTTTCTGTTTTTTTTTTTTTTTAAGATTTTTTTATTTGTTTATTTGAGAAATAGAGCTATAAAGAGAGAGTGAGACAGAGAGAGGTCTTCCATCTGCTGGTTCACTCCCCAATGGCAGCAATGGCCAGAGCTGTACCGATCCAAAGCCAGGAGCCAGGAGATTCTTCCGGGTCTCCCATGTGGTTGCAGGGGCCCAAGGACTTGGGCCATCCTCCACTGCTTTCCCAGGCCATAGCAGAGAGCTGGATCAGAAGAGGAGCAGCCAGGACATGAACTAGTGCACATAAAGGATGCCAGTGCCGCAGGCAGAGGCTTAGCCCACTACGCCACAGCACCGGCCCCCTCTGTTTCTCTCTGTCTCTCCCTCTCTCTGTCACTCTGCTTCTCAAATAAATAAAGTAAGTCTTCAAAAGTAAAGTTTTCTTTCAAGTCCCAAAAATCCTAATCAGGAACCACAGGCCTACAACTAGTTCACTGTGGGGCCTTGGGAAAACCCCACCACCCTTCAGGGCTTTGTTGTTCTCCCCCAGAAAATGAGAGATTTCCTCTAAAATTATCTGTGAGAATCTATCAGACCCAGACTATCCATGACCAGACTGGACGCTCAACACTGTCCTGTACAAATGACAAGCAAGATAATGACCATTTCACAGGTGGGAAAACTGAGGCTCAAATACGCAGTGACTGGCCCTGGTTCAAACCTCACTTCCTCCTCAGGGGAGCCCTCCTTGACTACCTCCTTCACCAGTCGAAGCCCTCTGTTATATGCCCCTATTGCATGTCTGCGTTTCTTCAGTTGTATTTTTTTCAGGAGTTAAGACGCGAGTTCTCTGGCCGAATAAACTTTGAGAAATGTTAGTCGAGACAAAGCTGACTGCCCTGCAAGATTTCTCGGTGCGTCTGCGAATGCTGGCGCGCTCTGAGCCCCAAGAGAAAGGCAGCCGGTCTTCAGCGTCACCTGAGCGTAGTCATCCTGGAGTCACTTAAAATGCACTTTCATTATGAGCCGGTTCCAGCACAGAACAGTAAGCAGGCTCCTCTCGTCACCGTCTCCACGCGGTGCACGCCCCTAACTGCGCAGGCTGGCGGAAGGCCTCATTCACCTGCTGGCTGCTCAGTGCCCGCGGACCCGGCTGCCGCATGCAGGCGCTGGATTCGCTGAATGGGTGAAGAGGACAGCTCGAGTTCTCAACTCCTGAGCGCCCACACAGACTGCTGACAAGCAGCCATCTGCAGGACGGCTTTTCCATTGTGAGCAGGGCGGGTGTTTGGTGCCGCGGCTAAGACGCTGCGTGGGACACCCACATCCTCGATCAGAGTGCCTGGGCTCAAGGCCCGGCTCGGCTCCTGATTCTAGTTTCCTGCTACTGCACACCTGTAGGAGGCATCAGGTGATATCTTGAATACTTGGGTCCCTGCCACCCACATGGGAGACCCGGACGGAATTCTGGGCTCCTGATTCAGGAACGAACCAGCAGATGGGAGATCTCTCACCCCCCTCTCTCTCCCTCTGTCTCTCTGCTTTTCAAAATAAGTAAGCATTAACTATTAGTAGCTAAAATGTGCTTTCTTTCGAAGTCACACCAGGAACAGCTAACTAAGGAGACCGTCCCCCTCCCAATCAATCAGCTCGCCAGCCCCGCCCCCAAGGCCACAGTATCTTCATCACTCTGCCTTCCCAGCCCTTCCCCAGGAAGAAGGAAAAGCAACCTGGGGAGGCATCTGTGTGCCCAGAGACACTCTCCACACGTCTGCAAGGCTGACCGTCCCCATGAACCGCTGGCCGAGGGGCCACTGTCTCCTGGTCACCTCGCCACTGCCGGAAGCGTTGGGCTCAGCACGCTGCTGCTGACGCCTCTGAGCGCTTTTTTTTTTTTTTTCGACAGGCAGAGTGGACAGTGAGAAAGAGACAGAGAGAAAGGTCTTCCTTTTGCCGTTGGTTCACCCTCCAATGGCCGCCGCGGCCGGCGCGCTGCGGCCAGTGCATCGCGCTGATCTGAAGGCAGGAGCCAGGTGCTTCTCCTGGTCTCCCATGGGGTGCAGGGCCCAAGCACTTGGGCCATCCTCCACTGCACTCCCTGGCCACAGCAGAGAGCTGGCCTGGAAGAGGGGCAACCGGGACAGAATCCGGTGCCCCAACCGGGACTAGAACCCGGTGTGCCAGCGCCGCAAGGCGGAGGATTAGCCTAGTGAGCCGCGGCGCTGGCTGAGCGCTTTCTATGTGACGAGAGCGTCACCACGGGCTCCTGCCTGCCACCCAGACGTGGTGTCTCCAGCCCACACCCTCCCTCCTCTCCCATCCGTACTGCTGCATCCTGCAGCGAGATCCAGAAGGAAAAACCCCAACCCCGACACTGCGCGGCCCCGGAAACAGCTGGGAAGGGGCCTTTCTGGGCTTGCCACCGGCACCATCACTTCCTAACCGCACAGACACGGAAGCCCCAGCTTCCTCGCCCGCAAAGTGAAAATGATTACACTTGTAAACGCCTGCAAAAGAAAGCAGAACACTGACCCGTGCTGTGTAAACGTGTCCGCGACATCAGCACGCCCTGAGCACATCTCACGTGCTGTCGATCGCACTGTATGTCCTCCCCTTCTCCTATCAAGGGCAAGATTGCTAGTATTACATCGCCATTTCACAGCCGAGACCACTGAGGCTCAGAGAGGTAGAGTCACTTACTCAGGGTCGCTCAGCGAGTGAGCGAGTGGGAGAGCGGAGCGTGCACTCCCAGCAGCTGACTTCACATTCCATCAGGAATGCTGCACCTCAGGCCCACCATGTTGGAGACAGACAAGCATTACAGATTCCATAGTAGCCTAGAACATCGCCCCTACAACACCCACCCACTCACCCTCATCGCCCCTGGAAACACGGCCCTGCCCCGCCAGGCAGGCGCTCTCTGGGGATGAGTCTGAGGGGATAGCCTGCAGGGGGCGCCCAAGGCCTGGTCCCATTAAGCGGGCAGAGACAAGCAATGTGCAAGTGGTGAAGGGAGGCCGCCTGTGTCCCAGCAGGCACCGGGCTGGAGCCCTCCCCTCACTGTCTCCGTCATCAGGAACCCTCCAGGTGAAAACTTCTTATCCCATTGCAAGGCTGGGGATCTCATCTTGACAAGCACCCCAACCACACGGCTTCTAAGTCAGAGGGGGTCACATCAGTCTGCCGCCCTCCAAAGCCTCCCCACCTGCTGTCGTGCCCAAAGCGGCTCCCATCCATGTCCCCGCCCCAGGTTCTACCCGCAGCCAAGCCCCACGCTGGGGATGCAGGCAGCCCCTGGACCCTGGCAAATCCCTGCATCCTATTCGGTGTGCAGCTTCTCACTTGCGCAACGGGCAGGGACCTATTAAGGGAAAACAGCTTTGCCCGCTGCCACATGGCCCTAAGCATTTGTGCCACGGGGGCAGGGGGGGGACATTCAGGGTTGCAAGGGCCGTCTGGAGGTCTGGGAAGCGGGGAGAACAGGGTCTCGGGCTTCTCCCCTCCCCACCATATGGACCCTCCATGACACTCACAATGAACACACACAGGGACCGGTTCGGGTCAGAGGAGACAGAAGCACGGCCGCTGGTCACAGTGGCCTGGATCCGGCTCTGCGAGCTCCTGGCCCAGGCAACTGCAACGCATTCAGGCCCCAGCGTTCTCACCCGCACGGTGGGGAGACTGAGGGACCTGCCCGTCTCCACACCTAACAGGAGGATTTCTCCAGGGCCAGGACTGAGTCATCCCTGTGCGTCCAGGACCTGGTGCCAGCAGAGACTTATTCAGATGGAAGAACAAGAGACAACGCCCCTGGAAACCCAAGTTGGTCACCCAGGCCTCCGCCTCACCTGGGTTGCAGAGGCTGGCCCTCCTGGGAGATGCAGAGTCCTTGTTTCCTTTAACCTGGACCACTGGGGGAGGCCCGTGCCCGTGCGTGCCCATTGTAGAGATGAGACCCCCACAGCTCAGAGAGGCTAACTCACTGTCTGAGATGCACAGCCACTGAACGGACCCCAGGCCTTCCTGAGCCCAGCTCTGCCTGACCCCAGGCAGCGCCCGCTCCTGCTCACCACCCAGGGCATCTGGAGGCAGCTAGGATGAAGAATTGTAGAACCTCAGAACAAACTCACCCAGGGCTGAAGGCCAGGGGTGCCCAAAAGGTCCCCAAGGAAACCCAGGAAGGTTGAGTCATCCCCGATGGGACCCTCAGGGTCCACCACCCATTCTAGAGCCCAGGCCTGAGGCACTAGGAGCTGTGGGGGGAGAGGGGTGGGCCCAGGGAGGTGCATGGGCTTTCCATTGGCTGGTCTCCGCCCCTCCCACCTACATCACCCAGCCCCCAGTGGGCTGGGCGCACGGGTGCCTGCTCTGCTCCCGGGTGCATTCAGGCTGGGCAGCCTAGCCGGCGGACGCCCTTCTTCACAATCCCAATCGGCCACCTTTTTCTTTTCTTTTTTTTCTGACAGGCATAGGAACTTTTTAGGGTGGCTGTGGCTCTGGCTCCCTTGATGTCACCTCCCAGCCCTCCGTGCCCAAGCCCTGGGGCTGGAAGGTGGTGGGTACGGCCTGGGCTGGAGTCCCCGCACCTCCCTCCTGCTCTGAGACCGTGGTCAGGTCGGGTCACTTGTTTCACCTAACAACGTGCATTGCTCTTGCTATAACCCCCAGTCCTGAAGGAGAACTCAGCCACCTGCTATCCAGGGAGCTGTCCACCTGCCTTATCCACGTGTGGATGGAGGAACTGGGGTCCAGCGATCAAGAAACTCATTCAAACGAGGTAACGACCGACAGCTAATGAACCTCGCTCCTGTGACCACTGGCTGCCATCCAAAGCCGCCGGAGTCAGGAACCCTGTGCCATAGGTAGTTCTGCTATGCCCATTTCACAGATGAGGAAGCTGAGGCTCAGAGGAATCAGGTGACAAAGGGCCATGAAATGACTAAGAGGAGGAGCTGATGATTTCAGAATTGTCAGCTCAGGGCTGTGCCCTACAATTTTGCATCATGCCAAGGCTAGGGTCATTAACATCTTCTGGATAATAGAAATCTCACGGAAGTCCTGGGTCTTGTCTGTCAAGAAAGCACTCTCACACACAGATGTAATCCCACTGCGTTCTGCAGGCTCAAAGCCATTTCTCCAAAGCCAGCAGGTGAGTGCTGCTCCCACACCCCACCACCAAGCCCTGCTTCTGGGAGAGTCTAGCACACAGCGAGAGAGAAAGATGGGTCTAAAGAGATGCCAGAATAAGGGAGAGGGGCAGAGGAAACTCCTGCGAGGGAGTGAGAGACACACAGGCACTGCCACTGGCCTGGGATGGATGTCCAGGGAGGGGGCTGTGGGTTTATGGGAAATATGCGAACCTCTCACAATGGGAACACACGAGAGGGTCACGGACAGCAACTCACAACTGTGCAGAAGGGAGACAGAAAGAGAGAGAAAGGGGAAAGTTAGGGGAAGAACTGAAATGGCAGACGGAGATGGAGAAAGAGCCAGGCAGACCCAGGGCTGGAGGTCCCTCTCAGTCCCCTGGCTGCTGCGGGGGCTCCACCCCTGCCCCGGCTGACCTGCAGCACCCGCTTGGTGAGGCCTGTCTTCTGCGCCAGCTGCTTCAAGTCCTTGGCGTCGGGGTTGTGATTAATGGCAAAGTAAGACTTCATGGTCCGAAGCTGGTGGTGCTTGAAGGAGGTGCGCATGCGCTTGGTCTTCTGGCTGCTGGGGTACGGCTGGTCGCGGTCCAGGTGCTCTGCGTCATTCTCATTGCAGCTCAGCGCTGGGGAGGGGACGCAGAAGCCGAAGGTGAGCTTCCAGACCGAGTGCCCACCTGCCCTGCCCACCACCGCACCCTGAGATGGGCGTGTCATCTCCCCACCCTACCCCTGTTGCAGCTGGAGAAACTGAGGCTGGGACGCACAGGCTGCCCTGGATCTCTCAGGAAATGAAAGAGTCACTCCCAGCAACGAGATCCAAAATCCACTCGGAGCCATCACCTTACAAAAATGACAGCGACAGGGACAACTTGTTGCTGTCTCACGGCACCCCAGATGAGGCGCACCAGGGCCACGCCCCGAGGAGCAAGCTGCTACCTCCCCCTTTCCACAGATGCTGAAACGGAGGCTCAGACAGGGCAGCTTCGTCCCTGGGACACAGCAGTGCAGGGTCTCCGAGCCCCCGGTTCTTCCAGCTTCCCACACTCTCCAAGGAGGAGCCACTGTTTCCCATCGTCCCCTGCAGGCCCCGGCATTGACACCTGCAGTGCCTGGAGGACTGAGAGACTCACTTTCATTCTGCTCTCATCAGCTCCTGTGCCCGCAGGTACTGAGTGAGTCTCGGGTCTTGGGCATTAGGTGGTTTGGGCCCCGACCCCCATGTGGGAGACCCAGAGGAAGCTCCTGGCTCTTGGCTTTGACCTGGCTTGGCCCTGGCTGTTTCGGCCATCTGGGGAGTGAACCAGCAGATGGAAGATTGATCTCTCTCTCTCTCTCTAAAATAATAAATAAACAGTAAATAAAATAAACCTTAAAAAGAGGGAGAGAGAGAGAGATTGCGCTCGGTGGCTGAATGCTCATCACTGCCCTCTGCAGTGCCTGTTCAACAGCTTTACAAATGGAGCAAGCGGGGACGAAGCAATCTGAGGGCAGGAAGCCGGAGGAAGAAAGGAACAGGTACCGGTCAGACGCCTGGGAGCCTGGGAGCCGGAGCCCGCAAGCCTGCGGCTTTGTGAACCTCACAGCATCACCACTACTGCTATTGTTCCCATTTTAGAGATGACAAAAGTAACGCTAATGGGAAGGAAGCCACTTGCACACATCTAAGCCACCGGATCCAACAGCTTCTCACCCCCCACACCTGCCACAAAGGAAGGCAGCCTGAAGAGAGGTTCCTTAGGGAGCCTGCCACCACCCACAGGGGCCTCGCTGACAATGGCTGATGGCCCTGGGGGTGGAGGAACCTCGGGCCTCAGAAACTGCTCAGCAACCTGGCAGCTGCTGGGGACACGCCGGGCCCCTCCCAAGACCCCACACGGAGGGGTCCTGCTCTGGGGAAAGCCTCACCCGAGGGTCAAAGTCAGCACCCCAAAAGTAAGAACTGGGGGGACACCTTGCACCCCATCCCATGCCCACAATGCAGTGGCCAGATTTAGCAAATAAAAATACAGGTGATCCGGTTGATTCAAACTTCAGATAAACAACAAATGTTTTTAAAAATGATTTAGTCCCAAATACTGCAAGGGTCACATCTATATTTTAAAAAATTATCTACCTAAAGTTCAAACATTGCATAGGTTATACTTAAAAAATTATACTAAAGTCATACTAAAAATTATCTAAAATTCAAATATTGCATGGGATATACACTGTAAATATATTCGTTGTTCACCTGAAATTTAACTGAGCATCCCCCATCTCCCTGGGGAGTCACTCTCCCTCTTCTGGTGACTCCCACCTCCCCCTGCCCAGGGACAGGGACAGACCAGGCAGGAAGCATTTGCAAGATAGTGCATTTGCCCTGACCTTGGAGCTGTCAACTAGGACTTCCCCCTCCTAAGCTTCCCTTCCTGAAGCTCCCCCCAGAGCAAAGACCGGGGCTCCCCGATTTAAAGATCAGAGGGTGACCACCATCCACAGGCACAGGACGGGCCCTGCCCGCTGAGAAAAGCGACCACCTTCCCCCAGTCCCCGCTACACACCGGTGGGGCAGGCCTCCCCACGGGGGACCTCCGGCCCAGCCCCCGCCCAGCCCCCGCCCAGGCCTCACTGCTGTTAATGAGCTCCGTGGGGACCCCGGCGCCCCGTGGGCCCAGGGGAAGTGCCCTGAGTGCGGCCTGGGTGGGGGGAGGTGGTGCGGGGGAGGGAAACGGATCGGAGAAAAGAAAGAGGTGGAAAGAAAGAGAATGGAGAGAGGTGGGGAGGGGAGACGGACAGGGCCAGGGCGAGAGGCGAGCCAGGGGGCAGCAAGAGAGATACCCAGCTACGGAGTCCCGGAAACAGGAAGACACGGTGGGGGTCCGGGCGAGGGGAGTGAACCCCAAGAACTAAGGGAGGCAGGGTCCCCCCCGGGGGGGTGGGGCGGGAGCACAGCAAGCACAGCAGGGGAGAAACCCAGAGATGGAGGGAAAGGAGAAAGGGGCGGCGGGGGCCGCGGCAGATCAGCAGATCAGCGGCGGGGCAGGGTGCCCCGGGGGAGAACCGAGGGGCCGAGGCCTGGCGCGCACCCCCGTGCCGGGCCGGGTCGAGGCGCCCCAGGATCGGATCCGGGGAGGAGCAAGGGGCCGAGGGGAGGGGGAGGACCTGGGCTTTCTCTCTCTCTCTCTCTCTTTTTTTTCTTTTCCTCTCAATTAGGCCGATTCAATGGAGCTAAAGAGCTCGTAAAATCATGAATAATTTACTCGTGATCTGTTATTAACCCATCGGGTTTCGAGCTCTTGTCGCTGGGACTGAACCTGTAATCAAATCTGACTTCGCCTCATTTTACTAAAGACGAGATTGTAGGTTCAATTGTCTAAATAATGGATTGGAATCAAATCAGTAATTACGCCGCCAGGCACACACACAAAAAGCTGGGGCTGGGGGAGGCCCGAGCGTCCGGCCGGTCCGCGCGGGACTTCCGCGGCCGAGGCACGCAAACCCGCGCAAAGTGCGCCGCCTGGACCCCTCGAAGGCTCCGGCCGCGGCGCCCGCGCCCCCCGGTCCGCGAGCAGCCCCGCTTGAAGTTAAAGGGAGGTTTCCGTTCCGCCTCTGGGGCTGGGGCCGGGGCTGAGCGCTCGGACCGGAGGGGCCGCGGGAAGAAGGCCTGCGGCGGCCCCCGCCCCGGAAGGACTTTCCGACCCTGCGGCCTGCGGCCCCGCTGCCCTCCCCTAAGCCGAGGCCCGAGTGCACCGACAGCGCACCCCCAACAACCGCTCTCGCGCAGCCCACTCCTCCCCCGCCGCAGGACTGTCCCCCAGAGCGACGGGCTCTGCCAGGTGCCAGGACTCGGTGTGGCCGGGCCCCTGGACGCGAAGCACTGGAACAAGCCAGCCTCCTCCGTCGGAACCAGGCACGCACACAACGCCCGCAGGTCGCACCCTGCACGGTCCCAGCTTTCCGATCCCAGCTGCCCCATGGCCCACACTGCGGCCATTTCCCTCCTGCCCGACTGGGAGGAGAGGGAAGGGGCGCAAGCCGGGTCTGGGGAGGCCTGGATGCTCCCCACCCCCAGCAAGGCCCCGGAGTCCAGCCTTGTCCCGGGAGCCCCGAAGCAGCGAGCCGCACCGCCAGCGCCGCGCACCGGACACCCTTCCTCCTAGTGCCCGGGGGCCGGGCCAAGGCCGGAGGCGCGAGCGCACGATAGTGGGGCAACAGTGAAACCGCTCGGGAGACAGAGAAAGGAGGAAAAGAAGAGCGGGCCCAAAGAGAAATGAAAAAACTGAGCTGGCTGTGGGGCAGGCGTCCTGCGAAGGCGCCAGCTCCCCCTGAAACAGCCTCCGGCCGCAGGTCCTTGCGGCCTCCCCGGGGCGGGGGGCGGGCGGCGGGCAGCAAAAAGCAAAGAAATCTTTACCGCTTCTCGACCCGCTTTTCTTGCACGATTCCAAACCCAGTGTGCCCAAGGAAACGCTCAAGCCCGCTGCCGGGTGCCCTGGAGCCACTTCCTACTGGGGGCCGAACCCGCTTGATACACAGGCGCGGCTTGGTGTTGGGGGCCCGGCCCGGGCTGGGAGATGCGGGGTGGAAGTTCGAGAGGGCCCCCCCGGGCGGTAGGGCCTCCCCAAATCTTAAACTGCCCTGCCATCGTGGATTCCCCACTGCCCCAAGTAGGGGCTGCAGCCCCCCAGCTCCACACACCGAGACACACCCCACTGCCTTGCAGCGGGCAAGTTCTCGTTGTCGCGCAGCGGCGACCCCCCAGCCACTGCCCAGCGCTCCCCCAGCAGCTCAGACTCAAGATCAAAATAACTGACTTCTTCCGCACCGCCGCCCCCTCTGCCCCAACTTGGGCATCAGACTGGGGGTGGGGAAGAAACCATGATTTCCGAATCCGATTCTGTCGCAAACGAAAAAAAAAGAAAATAATTGCAAATAAACTCTAGTTCGGAAGCCCCCAGAGTCGTAAACCTTTCCGGGTCGTGCAGACTTCGGGCAGATGTTGACGGTTCAATTTGCGGAGCCTACTGCGGTCCTGAGCGGGGAGGGGCACAGGAGGGGGCAGAGCTCCCGGAACGGGGCCTTGGGGTTCAAAGACGCCGGAAATGTGGAACGAGGCCACCCCTCTCCCGCACCCTCCCCCCTTGCGAGGCCGGGCCTGCTCGGGTCTCTCGTCCCGGGCTCCGGCTCCGGCTTCCAATGGTTGCCGCCCTCACCCCATTAGGCGCCCGGACACAGAGAAAAGAGAGCCCGGGAAAACCAGGACCCGGCCTCCCTGGAGGGTCGAGACGCCGCAAGGACCCACAGCCCTGGCCTGGAAGATGCTCCCGCGTCCGCCGCCCTGGGGACATTTCTCACCACCGGACCCTGCGCCAGGCTGAGCTCACAGCCCCAGGCCACCTCCAGCCCTTTCTCTTGGGACCCTCAGCGCCCTGCCGGGCTCCGCTGAAGCCCCGGCTCCCCGCCCTCCGCCGCGCCCGCCCAGAGCCTGTTTGGTGTCCGCGCCGCCTTGTTTGCTCGATCCCTACACTTTCTGCGCAGCAAAGCGAGCACAAGCTGCAAACCAAAAAGCCACCTCTAAAACACACACACACACACACACACACACTTCTAATCCGCTACAAGGCCCGCACCCAGGGCTCCAAGGGCCCAAAGCAGCCTCTGAGAGCGCGCCTGCTGGGGCGGAGGAAAACTGAAGTCCCTGCCGCCTGGCCGCACTCCGGCACGAGAGTCTAAGGGTCCGAGGGCCCTCGGTATGACAAGCCCAGAGAGATCCTCCGCAGCTCGCGACCCTCGGCGCCGTGCTTTCCCCCAACCCGACGGGGGCGCTCGGTGCGCCCCGCACTTGCACGCGCACTCACCAGCGTTGTAGGCCGCCAGGTCTGCCCCAGGGCCGGGGCTCTTGCGCTTCCGCGGCCGCCCCTTCTGCACTGTGCCCACGCCGTTGTAGTAAGGAAGACCCAGCGGGTTGGCCCCGGCTGCGCCCAGCCCAGCGCTCTTGGCCGCCGCCGCTGCAGCCGCCGCCGCCGCCACGTCGGCGTGGTTGAAGTGCGCCGGATACTCGCCCTGCAGGAGCGCCTCGAAGTGCAAGCGGCAATAGACCAGGCTGTCCTTCATGCCGAAGTGGTCTCCGGTGGTCAGCATCTTGTTACACGTGGTGCATGTGAAGCAGTTGAGGTGATAAACCAAGTCCCGAGCCCGCATCACCATCTCCGAGGCCGAGATGCCCAGGTGGCAGCGGGCGCAGCGCTGCACGGAGAACCGCCTGTAGGGACCAGGGAGGCAGGGGCTGTGGGGACACACGGTTGGGTAAGCCCCCCCCCCCAATCCTTCCTCGGGATGTCCCCGCTGCTGCTGGGACAACTTTGCCTGCCTTTGGAGGATGGGGCAGAGGGAGCTAGATTTTGACCCAGGCCTGGTCCTATCCTGAAATAGTTCCCTTTAACCATTTTTACGCCTACAAGAGCTTCTGCCTTAGAGTCTGAGCAAGCCCTAGGAAAGCCTTACTTGGGAGTGAAGCAGAAACTCCCCCAGGTGCCCCTTTCCTCACACTCCCCCTGCCCACCTGGGTAATTTGGAGGAAAGAGAGGGAATATAAACAGACACTAACCCTAAACCTGGACGGAAGGAGAAACTGGGAACCTGGAGCCCCATTCGGCATTCTGCTGCTTTAATCTTGGCCAGTTTTCTTTCCGGTCTTCCTGTCTCCCTACAGACTCCCGATCGCGCCCACTCCCCAAGCACTCCCTGCAACTTTGTTCCACACCAACACTGGCCGGCCTGGGTTTGCGGGAATGCCTATTTCTGTGCCCCTCTGGCTGACTCCTGAAACTTCACGGGGGAGAGGAATGCAAAGCCCCCACCCCCAGCTCAGAGGGGAGGGCAGCTCCTGCTGCTCTCTGGTCCCTACACTTTGCACACCTTCCCCAAAGCTTCCCAAATCACTGCTTTAAAAGGCTGTCACCGCATCCGTGCTGGTCTGGAGGGGGCGGGGGGAGCCTGAGTAGGGAAACGGGGGGGGGGGGGGGCTGTGGCCGCGAGGGCATTCTGAGCAGGGGAGGGGGGCTACCTGTAGTAATCTTCCTTGCAGTAGATGCTGCCGTCCTTGCTGAAACACGTGAGCTCCGACTCCAGGTTGAGCTTGCACTCACAGCACTTGAGGCAGCGCATGTGCCACTGCTTGTCCACCGCCAGCAGGTAGTAGCGGTCCGAGATCTTGCCCCCGCAGCCAGCGCACAGCGCAGCCCGGTCACTACTGATGGACGGCATGGTCTGCGAAGGGAGGAAGGCGGGAGACCGCAGCGCCCGTGTCAGCTTGCGGCTCCTCCGCCGCCGGGAAGCCGGCACCCGCCACTGCCTCGGTGGCCCCAGGCAGCCCTGACCGCCCAGGGGGCTGCCAGCGTGGGCAGTGCGCTTCCCCCACCCCAAAGGGCCTATATCCAGGCGGCTTGGGGCCCAGGCCCATCGGCGCAGCCTTAGCCGGCCACGGGCCCAGGCCGAGCTCCCAGTCTGGACGACTCGCTCCCTTTCTACTTCTCCCCCTTCCTGTCCCCCAGCCGGTTCCCCAGAAATGCTTGTCGGCCTGCAGGGACTGGGGCAGCCTGCGGCTATTCCGGTCCAGCCTTCCAAGAGCGCCCTCCAAACTGTTTCTTAAAGGAGCCACCGGCCGGGTCTCAGGAGAGGGGTAAAGTGATCATTAGCCATTAGCAGTCACCCTCCGGACAGACTCCTCTTCCTGGAGCCAGCAGGCTCCCTCGCCCCCAAGCCCCGGTGGTCTCTGGATCCGCAGGCCGAAGGCTTTGGCCAGGGCAGGTCATACAACTTCTGGCTCCTCTGCCACAACGGCAGAGGCCTTCTTGGGTCCGGGGGTTGTGCAGCGGGGTGCCGGGGCACCCTCACAGTCTCTGGGTGCCGGGCAGGCCCAGGCCAAATCTTCCCCCACCAAGCTGGAGCCGAGCGAAAGGCTTCAAAGCGGGGCAGGAGCGCCGGGAGGCCGAGAGGCCGCTGAGGCCGCCGCTCTTGCAGAAGACGCTTCGAACGGGCTCCCCGCCGCCCCGGCCTTAAGGTCACTTCTGGGCCCGCCGCTCGGGCAGCCTCGGCTCCTCCGCCCCCGGGGAGGTCTAGGGGCCCGAAACTGGCTCTGTGGGGCTGGCCAGGAGGAGCCAGGTGCAAAGAACCGAGTGGAGTCTCCTTCCGCGAGAGCCAGGCCGAGCCTGAACTCCTAGCCCCGGCCTGGTCACGGCCGGCCGGCCACGGGGCCGGGAACACGATCAACGAAAAGTGCTGGCCCAGAGGACTTCGGCCCCAGAAACCGCTCCGGGGAGCGGGCCCCGATTCCGGTGACGCCGGATAGAACCCCAGTGCTCCCGGCTGGTTCGTCCTGCCCGGAGCTGCGGGAGACGCCGCCAGCAGCCCGAGCCCGAGCCGGGAAGCGGAGCGCGGGGCTTTCGACCCGGGCGCCGAGCGAGGTGAGAAGGGCCGCAAAGGAGACTTCGCCTCCACTCCGGGAGAAACGCTGTCCTCCACCCCAGGGCTCCGGGATTTCGACCTTGTTTCCTGCTGCGCCCCAGCAGCCAGGTCTCCCCCCACACACAAACACCCCAGCCGGCAGCTACGGGCCTAGCATCCTGTCCGAGGATTCTCAGCGCCAGGTCCCGTGCGGCACGAAGGGCGCTCCCTAAACTTCGGGGACCGGAGGCGCCGACGGACCCGACTCCGTCCCAGCTCTCAACCCGGACCCCACAGCCGCGCGCCTACCGTCTCGGTGTCGCCGCGGTCGATGGCGGAGCTGATGGCGGGAGCCTCGCTCTTGGCCCTGCGGTCCATCTCGTCGATGACCCCGTGCACTTCGGGGCCCGACAGACTGTGGAACAGCATCTCGGCGGGACCGGCGGGGCCGGGGGCGCGGCTCCTCGGACGGAGGGCTTGCCCCCCGCCTCAGCTGCCTGGCGCTCCTGGCGCTAACGGGCCCGGTGCATTGCCACCGCAGCCCCGGCCCCGCCCGAGCTCGGCTGCGCCCCCAGGCCGGGCTCCGGGTCCCGGGCGCCCGCGGGCCAGGACGCCTCCCGCCGAGGCGTAGGGGCAGCTACATCGCGGGGCGCCTGGGCGGCGGCGCCAAAGCCAGGGTCACAAGGGCACGGGAAGGGGGGGTGCAGAAAAGGGCAGGGGTCGGCGCCCGCCGCGGGCGCTTTCACGCCGCGGGCATTGCCCGCCCGGCTTCGGCGCCCGGGGCGCAAAGCAGGGGCGCAAACTCTGCCCGAGGCAGCGACGGCTGCGGTCGCGGTTCACCCCACAAGAGGCTGGTGCCAGCGGCAGCCCAGCTGCCTGGAACCCTCCCCTCCCTGGGGTGCGCCCCAGCCCAGGGCGACCCTCTTGGGCGCCGAGTCGGCGACTGAAGTAAGGGTTTCTCCGAAGCCAGCGAGCCGAGCCGAGCCACCCGGAGAATTGAAGAGGAGGAGGAGGAGGAGGAGGAAGAGGAGGAGGAGGAGGCGGAGGAGGAGGAGGTGGAGGAGGAGAAAAAGGAGGAGGAGCAGAGTGGGAGGAGGAGCCGCCGGCCGCGGGCCCAGCCTCGGCGCAATGCTCTCCAAGCGCGCGCCGAGCCCAGCCCCGGCTCTGCAGTCCGCGCCAGCGCAAGCCTCCGCGCCTTTTCTACAGCCGCGCCTGACATCACGTCCTGCCGCCGCGCCATTGGCCGCCCGGCGCCCCAGGCCCTGGCAGCGCGTGCTCCGGGAAGGCGGGAGACCCGAGAGGGAGGGGAGAGGCGAGGGGAGGAGAGGAGGGACGAGATGGTGGGAGCTGGTGGGCGAGGCTGGAGGGAGGAGGCGGGAGGGAGGAGGCAGAGCGCGGGGTTTGGAGTTTTTAAGCTACGAACGGTTTCCTGCGATTTCTCCGGGAAGGAAGGGAAATTAAACCCTCGCTCCTCGCTCTCTATCCTAAGAAGGTGCAGCCGGAGGATGCTCCAGGAGGTCTCACTCCGGGCTCTCCCCAGCCCAGAGCCTCTGCCTCTAGCACCGGCTGTACGGAGGGGGCCCAGAAAGGCAGGCCTGGGGCAGAATTGCCAGTCTTCGGTCACTTCCCTCAGAGCTGGACCTTGAGCCTGGGCTGCGGGCTGCAGCACAGGCCCGCTGGGGACCCAGCTGAGCCCACGAGGGGAAATCTGTGGCTCCCAGCGAGGGGGCCAGCCAACACATCCTAGATGCGAGTAAACTAGGGCCCAATCTGTGGCCCAGCGTGTAGCTCCTTCTTGCCTCTTCCCCATCTCTCTCCAGCCTGGAAGAGTGGGGGTGAGCGTGGCTTTGGGACCTCAGAAAGGCAGGAGTCCGAATACTGGTTCCTAGCGTTGCTGTTCAGGGAAACCTTAGGCGAGTGACATAACCGCCCTTAGCTTGCTTTTGCAATGGCAGACAAGAGGGCCCCCTTGCATGGAGGTGATAAAGCAGAGATCATCATGTAAAACGCCTGGAACGTACTAAGTAGGCACTTGGCAAATTCTTTACTTACTCTTTTCTCTCTCCTATTGAAAACTTTCAGCACCACTGAAGTTTCTTAAAGACCTCAGACCCATCCTCTGCCCACTGGGTGTGCCAAGCCACAGATCCACTGACACCCAGGGTCCACCTTGCCACCTGGTTCCACCACTGTGCCAAGGACCAAGAGCCTAGCCTGCCAGGTAAATCCCAGCTACCACTCCCAGCCTCTACACTTAAAGCTTAGCCTAATCTGTCCGGGAATTGAAGGCAATACCCCGGTGTCTGGTGGAGCAGGATTTAACAGATCAAAAGTGACCGGGGAACAGGGCTAAAGGAGCAGGCTCGGCTCCATCTGAGGGAGGGAGTGGGGGAAGAGCGTTAGTCTGAAGTGACCTGCTTGCCAGGACGCAAAGCCAGGGTCTCTGCCAGAGCTGAGGCAGCAGGACATCATACTTCAACGCCCACAGCACCCTCTTACATAGATATTCCTGTGCTTGAAGTGTTCTTGCACTTGCAATCGAGTTCACATGTGCAAGTGCACACGCTCGTTTCTGTTAGCAAAAATACAGCCAGCATAAATTTGCCCTTGTTGGCAAAGCCTCATCCACCACTCCCGTCGAGCTAGGGTCTACCCCCTGCGCATCAGGTGTGTGTCTGGTCCCCAACAGCAAGATGCATCTGGAAAGGCAATTCTTTGCACAACTTAAGTACACTCGCATGTTCAGGGAATTCTGCTTAGATCACCTACTGGAATAACTTGTTTTTCGTATTTGCAGAAACTCTTGAAGTTCCCAGGGTGTTTGCACACGGCTGCGCTGCACACGCACAGATGCCCCAAAGCGAGGAAATGACCACGATCGCAGAGACGCGCCTGCGCGTGTGTGCACACAGACGTTTTCCGGCGCTTGCACACACTTGCGCCCGGGCACGCGGACGCCTACATGAGTGCAGGGGCGTGCTTCCCTGACGCATCTGGGACACTTTCTTTCAAAGAAAGTGGGGAATGAAAATCTAATCTGGGAATCACCAGGGTTCAGCAGGAGGTCGCCCAAGGGGTAGAAAAAAATTTAGTAACGAGGCCAGAGTGTTTGTCCTCGGCGAGGCTCCGCTCCGGGGCTGGCTGGATACAGTGCGTCTTGGGGAGCTGGAAGGGCTACGGTGGTAGAAGAGGGCCCCCCCCAACTCCTGCCGCGGGCTTCTCAGCAAACGCAGAAACGCACCCCGCAGCTCTGCGCTCCCTCCAACCCCACAGCCTGTGCGCGCGATTCCGTCGCCCCCTCCCCGACCGGCAGCCCAAATCCGTTGCTGCACCGACCCCCCAGCTTTCGGAAGTCGGCCGGGAATCGCGTCGGGTGCGCCTGCCTATTGATCCCTCTGCGTCAGGCTGGGAAGCGCTCGGGTTTGCGAGAGGCTCCCGCCGCGGGGTGCGAGATCTGGGCGTCCCGGGCCTCGGGGTTCAGAGGCCGGTAACTTTGCTAATCTGCCCCAGCGGCCGAGGGCCGCCGTGCAACCGCTGAGCCCCATCCGCGGAGACCAAACAAGGAGAGGAACAGGCTGTAAACACACATCCTGACACGTGAGTGACATTTACACGGTGTGAGAGGCTGCCGCCGAGGCGCGGGCAGGGGGTACGGGGGAGGCCGGCACCCACAGGTAATGCAACATTGGCAGGCGCGGGTCGCGGCGGCCCCTGATCCCCCCTCCCCTGAGGGTGGGACGTTGCGGGGAGAATCCTAGAGTCCCCCGAACCTGCCTTTTGTGGGAGGTGACAGGTGAACGGAATTCGGGTCTGGCCACTCTCGC